ACTGATGATATAATAAAAAAATATATAAAAAAATGTAATTGATTTGAATTAATTCTATATAAATTTCCCACTGTTAAAATTGTCTTAATTTAGTTTTTCAGTTTTTCTATTGCACTTGGCATATTTAAGTCCCAAATCATACATAATTTTCCTTTTCATGTTGGGTTTTGGTTCTTTTTTCTTACTGCAACAAACATTCAATTATTTTGCTTGCTCTTGACCAACAACTGTTGCATTTAATGTGATTTTTGGACAAGCTACAATTTTAATTAAAAATTCTGAAAGGTCATTGTTGTCAAAAAAATAATAGTAAGCAACATGTTTGTATGTATATAACGGTAATAAAACACTGTTGATATGTAAGTGTGTGCGTGACATGGTTTTCGGATGCACCATAGCATGTCTGCTAAAGCCTTTTTGCTTGCTCTTCTTCCTCTCGTACTCACAGACAATACACACTGGCATTGTTTGCGAGCCACACAAAAGCCATGAACGTTCAGCATATGCTATGTATATGGTCTTAGCAGCTGGGTATGCATTTCTGTGGTTGTGTGTCACACACACGCTCGCACAAATGCCAGGAATTGCATTTATTGCCGCAATTTTCATTAGCAACGCTGATCCTATGGTTTGAAATTGACAAAAATTTTGATTGGAATGTAAGTCTTTGGTTAACTGTACACGCATTGTGCTTGTGTATGGGTCTGTGTGTGTGAGTAAATAAAGAGTGATGGCTCCAGGATGTAAGTGATCACAGGTATGCAAATGAGTGTGTAGGCGTGTGCATACTGCCAGGTGGCACTCACTCAGAGTTGTATTTCTGCTAAACTACTCAGTTTTTTATGGCATTTCTGCTATCAAATTAATATTCTTAATAATAAATTGTTTACTGAAATTTTCGATAATATTTTTGAAATTGAATTTCGCAGTGTTTAACTTTTGAAAAAATAATTAATTAAAAAACCAAATTCTACACAGTTTGATATTTTTATTAAAACCTCAATAATGTATAATTCAAAAATGTTATTTTGATGAGAATTTAAACGCACTTAAAAATATTTTTCAAAGCGAACTTTTTTCTATATTTCGCAAAAAGCTTATAACTTTTAACAGGGTTGCATTTTTACTCTCACAAAGTTCAAAATTTCCCTAAGATAATTCTTAAATAAGTTTTAGATAAGTTATATTGATCTCTAATGTGAAAATATTACATATTCTCTAAATATTGAAGCTTTCTAACGCTATACATGTATCTATAATCAGGGTTGAATTTTTTATGGTGAATATGTTAGATGTTCAGAGAAAAAAGCATTTTTAATCAACTGCCTTGCTGGTTTATAAAAAATATTATTTAAATAGTTTTATAAAAAAAAATATAATCATTTTTTGAAAAGCCTCCAGCGTGAGCTTTTGACAAAAATAAAACTTTAGGTAATAAAAGGGAGTATTTTACTATAAAACTATTTATTATTGTTGTATAAAATTTATTTCAAATCAGTGAAGATCTGTATAAATAATAAGTTAACTTTTTGAAGAGCTTTCAGTGTGAGCTTTTGACGAAATTAAAACTTTATGTCATAAAACAGAGTATTTAGCTATAAAACTATTTGTCATTGTTTAAAATTTATTTTAAATCACTAAAGCTCTATAGGTGCAAAAAAATTCAAGTATGGTTGCATTTTTGCTAGCACAAAGAAGTATTTGTTGACATTTTGTATTATTATACTTCATAAACTTTAATTTTTATCGCTGTTAGAGAAAGTTGTTGCTTAATTTTTCATGATTTCAGCATTTTAAATGCGAAATTTGAAAAATGTTAAGTTTCTGAAAGGGTAAACTTAAAAAAAAGTGAAAATTTGTTCATTGACATTCTATTTTTGGCAATTTTTTTCTCAAAACTCTGTTAAAAATTACTATATTAAATCATTAAATTGGTTTCCTTGAATCAAAATTAAACTGAATTTTTTCAGTTATTACGCAGAGTTGCATTTCATATCAGAAAATTTCAGTTCCAGTATAAATTGGGTACCACTAACTTCGCAGCTTTTCATTATTTTTTTCATGTTCAAATAAAAATTATTTATATCACAATTTCAAAGTTGCATTTCCACCAGCAACTTTTACTTCACGAAATATAATATCGCACATGAACCGAACACCTTTTTACCGTTTCAAACTTTGCTTTTACTTTTCACTCTCTCCCCTTTCCCGACATTCATTTGCGTTCTGCAAAAGTGTGATAACTTTTTGAACATTTCTCGGTACACATATATTATACATCTAAAATCCCGTTAGCAAACATTAAAGTTTTAGCCAAACGTCAAAGTGTACCCAGTTGCCTATTTTCATAGCACTTGAGCGGTGTTAGGGAAGAGAGAAAGAGCATGGCTGACGGCTCATAGTTTGAGAATTTAACTGGTGCATTTGGCTTAAATAATCTTTTCAACTGCATAATATTGCCAGAAAGCTTCTAGTGTTAGATATATGTACATACATATGTATGTACATTCTAAAATATTTAAGAACGGGTAAAGTTGAAAAGTTTAGTTTAACAGTTAGGTCAAATTATTTACTTAGCTTGCCGAAATTATGTTAGAAAAATTTTTCAAATTAATATGGGTGATTTTGTAAAGGGAGACGATGCGAAATTCTGATAAATTATTTAAGCTACACTGAAGCCTTCAAGTGGTACATTTAGAATCAATAAAAGTGCTTTGTCCAATCGTCGGCACCAAAAAGTTATGAAGAGTTTTCTCCATTTATGGTTTTCAATTCCCACATTTAGGCTTCAGTTAAACCGAAAATTAAGGTGCAAACAGCATAAAATTATCAGTAAAACAGACTTAAAATGTTATGAAAATTTTGTTTCCTTTAAGCTTTTATAATTTTAATAAATTAAATGATGCTTTAATCGAAAGCTTGGTATCATAAAAAATATTCTTTTAAACTTCATCTCCTAGTTATGTAAAAACGTCTTGAAAGCCTTTAGTTAAAAAATTATTATTTTTTCGTTATTAAAATTTAATAAGAAATATTGTTTGCTTGGTATAAATATACTGGAGCTTTTAGTAATTTTAGTCACACCTTTCCCTATTTCGTTTGTTAGCTTTCATAGGAAATTTTTAACATATGAAGTTTGAGTTATTTCAAAATTAATTTATTTGCATGAAATATTCATGATTTATTTCTTATCGTGTGAGTTTTAAAACTTACTATGGAGAACTTTTTCAATTTTAAAGTGAAGTTTTCCTAATAAAGTCCGAAAGTTTTACTTAGCTATTAAGAAACTCGCATATATTTTAGATATTTAGAATAATTTCAATGAATTGCAAAGTTATGTCTATTCAAAGAAAGCTAAACTTAAACAAAGGAAGCAAAGGGGACGGCTTACATAAGTGTAGCTTTCTTGAAAAAATTGATTCTTGATAAAAAATCAAGTTAGTATTTTTTTTAGATAAACCTTCGGTAAATTAGCGCTATACCAATAAGTAAAAGCCTTCAAAGCTTCCACCGTATTTTAAAGCTTATTATGGAGAGCTTTTGCTCGCAGCTATTAAGAAAAATTGCATATATTTTATTCTAGCTATTTTTACATTTTCACTAAATATCGGAATTCTATTTTGTAAAGATTTCACTTTCCTTAATCATCTACTAAGGGCAATTAAATGTTTTGTACCTGACTCTCGAAAATGCTTTCGTCGGAATGCTTATTGACATTTTTAAGGTAAAGATAAAAGTAGAGCTTTTAAAAAACTCGAATCAAAACTTTTAAGGGTATTTGGGCTCCTAAAGTGAAAGCTACTATTAACTTTTGGGAAACTTAAATGCAATTGAAAGTTTTTAGTGCTTTTAGATACTGATTGTAAGTTTTCACTAAGTACAGACAAAGCTTTAGTGCTTTTTGTAGTACTTTTTTGAGTTATGCTTTCATAAAAATTGGGTTTTGCTTTGAAGCTTTTTGATGTAAAGCTATATTGACGATCATAAAGTAAAACCGACTTTGAAAGCTACATTTCAGCGTTTGCTTTTTAATAATTTCAGTTTATTTTTTTACAACTCACCTTTGCCGTTGCTGCATCCGGACAGATAACATGATGATATGTTATATTTATGTAATCTGTATTCGAACATATTGTCAGTGAACGTTTATCCAAGGCCACCATATCGGTGCCATTCTTTTTTGTCACTTTATCGAGAATTTTCGGATCCTGTATGGAAGATAGAAAGTATTTATATTATATAGGTATGAGATTAATGGAAATTGTATATATAAATATTTTGTTAGAAAAATTTGAAAAACCGGTTTTTTCGAATTCGAAAATATATTTTTGAAAACTTTTTGAAAGTTTAAAGAAGAAGCATGAGATAAATATTTTTGTTGGACATATTTGGAAAACTATTTTTTCGAATTTGAAAATATGTTTTTGAAAAGCTTCTCAGAAAT